CCCCCTCCCCCTCTCCCTCTCCCTCTCCCTCAGTCTCCCTCTCGGCCTTTTGAGACAAGCTTTCATTATAAAGTTCATGCTGGCCTAGAACTCATTGTGTAGTCTAGGTTGGCCTTGAACATACAGGAATCCTCCTGCTTCATCCTCTGTAGTTCTGAGATTACAGGCATGAGCTCTCATGCCCAACCCAAAATATCTAAATGTTTTTCAAATTGTATTCTTAGCATCATTAAATATCAAGTTTTCTAGAAATCATTTATTTATTTATCTTTAGAGATGGAAAAAATTTTTTGGGGGTATCAGGAATTGAACTCAGGACCTCACACTTGTCAAGCAGGTGCTGTGCCACAGAGCTATATCCCAGGCCCTGCTTTCACAGCCTAGCTGTCAGCCCCCTGCTCTCCTATTCCCTGGCCTGCTCCACGGTCCACACTCACCCATAGTTATTCCTCCTGCACTACACGCATGCTCTGTTCTTGCGCCCCGTAACTTGCTATGCCCTCTACGTGACGTCCCCCCCCCCCCACGCAGCTGTTTCGATGCACCCTTTCTTTCCCTGACAAGGCAGATACTATACATGAATGTTTGCCTAGTGGCTATTTCCCCCCAGAATGCAATTTTACTAAAGTAGGTATTATTTTGCTTTAAAGATGTTTGGTCTGTTTGATTTCCTGCTATACTGCCAACATCTAGAAAAGTGTAGACTGATAATATGACTTTAAGAAGTGACGACTGAATAACAGAGAGGATGAAGCAGGAAGTGAATGAGTCCACAGGGCCGTTTCCTCAGCTTCCCAGTGGGGCCGCTTCTCCACAGTCTTGTCTTGTGCATTTACCAGATCTGACTTGAATGTAGGAGAAGAAAGTAAAGACCTGCGTCACTTGCTTGGGGGATGAGAATGTGGACTAGGCTTTGGGTTCATGAAGAGAAGTCTGCGGGGCTCTCTGAAGCTAACACGTATGCAGCACATGGGATCTCCATGCACTGGGGGCACCACCTGCCTAAATTGTGTGGAAGGCAATAATCATGATTTGAAATGCTTTTGGAAAAAGTATTGCTCTAAGTCTGTGTAATTCTAAAATCTTCAAACAAAAGGTCAACTCATTCTTTTTGAGTATGAGCTACACAAAACACATGTTTAACTTTCTCTCTTGATAGCTATTATTGTTCATGGTTCTATAAACTTAAGGAGATATTGTCTATTAGCGTTGTTTTTAAACTACAGTTTTATTCAGTGATTACAGATAAGCACTTGCCAATAGTCTCTGAAGTCATTGATTAGGCTGTGCTCAATCAATATTTTGTATCTAATCTGGGACCCAATCAGCCGACTCCAGATTGTTTTGCCTGATCATCAAGCTTTCTCTCAATAGCTCTGCCTTTGCCCAGCTGGGGGTGTCCAAAGGGCACAGGGGTGAGCTGCCAAATGTGTGGACTGCACTTTTGCAACTTCTTTGGCAATTGAAACTTTTCACTGGCGCATCTCCTTGTTTCAATTGTTGTTTGTTAGGATCCTAAAAGAACCAGTTATCTTGTTGGTGTCTTATTATCTTTTTTTTAAATGAGCCCAAGTATGCATAAACCTCATGCTGCAGAGAATGTTAAAAAAAAATACCAACTGCCCTGGATGAGACCACCAAACCCAGCTCCCTGGCAGAGCTTTAACCCGGAACACAATGCTGGCATCTCAACTGTTAAAGCTGTCTGCCACTGTTCTTCCCTGAGATCACTCTGATGTCACCAGTGTAATTTGAGCCGGGAGCTTTTGTTCACACTTTAAATAGCAGCGCTGGAATGAGTCTGCCACAGACTCTCTGGAGAGCCCAAGCTGAATTCCAGAAGATCCCTACATCGATGAAAGGGAAGGGAAGCCAGCAAGCCGTCATGTCCACGTCCCTGAGAGTCAGCCCGTCCATCCACGGCTACCACTTCGACACGGCCTCCCGCAAGAAAGCTGTGGGCAACATCTTTGAGAATGTAGACCAAGAATCGCTCCAGAGGCTCTTCAAAAACTCTGGAGACAAGAAAGCTGAAGAGAGGGCCAAGATCATCTTCACCATAGATCAAGATTTAGAGGAGAAAACCCGAGCCCTGATGGCCCTGAAGAGGAGGACGAAGGACAAGCTTTTCCAGTTCCTGAAGCTAAGGAAATACTCCATCCAAGTTCACTGAGGACAGCAGGACCGAGGAGGACTTCACCCCAGAATGCACACTGAAAGACCCAGAGACACTGAGAAGCGGAGAGAGGCAGTGTGCTGTGGCTGCCTTGTAAACTTCCGTCCTGTCAGAACTCCGAGGTGGAAGGGGACAGAACTGACCAGCCACCATCAGCCCCGTGCTGTCGCAGAGGTGAACAGAACGCTCTCAGCCATGATCTGAGAGCTCTGCTGCTGGCCAGGACTGGAGCTGCTGCAGGAGGCTGGCCAGCGGGGCAGGAGACCTGAGCCAGCAGGCACTGCAAGACACGTGTGCGGGGTCGCTCTGGGCCCAGAGACTCAGACTCAAAAGGACTGCTTTTCTCCTTTTCCTTCTCTGTCTGTCCCCTTTACTTCTCCTTTTATTTTATTTTTTATTATTTTTGTTGTTGTTTTGTTTTCAAAATGAAACCAGGCAGGCAGAAGAAGAGAGTTAAGTGAGAGACAATACTAAGCATAAATTGTTTACTGAATTTTTTTACGTGAATGTAAGCTATGGTCAAACCTCAATGTTATCTATTGGTATCAATTTTTAGAGATGTTATGGATTATTGATGTGCACTTATTACAATGCCTGAAACAGCAGCACACAAGTGATCAGTGCAAACAGAAGGGATGTGGTATCTTATGCAGCTTAGTAAACCTAATACCAGCTCTTGGTTTGTTGTAAAGAATTTTGTATGTATATATATACATTTCAGACAGTTTGCACAAACCTAAAATAATGGGCTTCTTTATAAATCTGAAGTACTGTGAAAAAATTATGATTTTTTTATCTTCCACTAATGCTAAGATATAATCTATGTTTCTTATAGTTACTGTAATAAGCATTAGGAAGTGAATATGATATAGTTTATAAAGATGCTATGGTTTCTATAATTTATTACACATGACAAGTGATATTCAACTCTATAATAAATTATTATAAACTTAGATGTTCTTGGCCTGTGATGGTTGGTCTCAAAGGAAAAAATATGGTGATGATAAATTTTGAATTTTATTTACTTTTCTAAAAAGTAGACTCTAAAAATAAAATCTGAGTTTAAAACAACTCTAATTATTAATTACCATTTTTTTTCAAAAAATTCTTTTGCCAAATATCTGGGAAATATTTTTTTCCTACTTTAAAATATAAGGTATAGATATCTAAATTTACAGGTTGGCTCACCATCTTTGCTATTTATATAACCTTCAATGGTGAATATTAAAAGGCTTTCTCTTCACATTTTGGAAATCTTTCCCGTCTGACTACAGTAGCTATGTACATGTACACATTTATTTCACCTTAAAATATATCTTAGGAACAGAGTCTGAGTTGTTACCAAGATTTTGTGAGTTATCACTGTTTATTCAACATAAGTCAGTATGGGTATAATCCAGCATCCCTTAACTTACTTTTCATAAAATTGTCATAAAGTATTTCTAAGAAGATAAACATCAATACCCATTGTGCTTTACCAACAAAGAAATAACTCCATAGAGATTAAGCTTTTCAGCAATAATTACAAAACTTTTTATAATAACAATGGCAATAATCAAAATAAGTGAACTCCCTAAAATTCTGTGGGAGGATTGGAAGTGAGAATTTAAGCACACACTTTTTTTTAAAGGGGTTGAACTGATATAACCTATTTCATCTTTTAAAGGAAATGAACTGATAACACCTGTACCCAACTTTTAACTCATTTACTGACATTAAAATCACTGTGGTAAAAAGGTAGTTTTCCCAAGAACACAACCGTGACAGTCATGCACTAAGATGCAGCAGTCTGTGCGAGAGCATGCATCTCTGTGTGCTAGGAAAGTGCTTCTCAGCCCAAAGGCCCAGCAGGGAGACGCTCTGGGCATCTGCTCTTCAATGCTGAAGCACATCTTGGATGCAAACACAGTTCAAAATCAAGTTCCTTGTGCACCTTCATGACTCCTCACCGGCCGCTCCTCCCATAGTGTGTGGTGCACAGCTCATTCTCTTTCCCTTCAGCATGCATCACAGTTGTCTTCTTACACTATTTTATCAAAGTGTTGTGATTTCAAGAGCAAAGCATGGGGAACACATTTAGAGAGGATTGATTCTCAGCAGCGCAGGGAATTCAGTACTCAAGTAGATTACTAAAGACATGGTGAAAACCTTTGTGGAATACAGAGGGTGGCAGCACTGTGAAGGCACAACTGTGCCATTTACTTCATAGTACACTTATTATTTAGTGCCAGGTGAAAATAAACTGTATTAGAACAGGGAGAACTAGTTCAGTTCACTTTCATCTACAGCATGGGCATGGCCAGATAGATCTCAAGAGGTGTCATTTAACAGAAGAAATAAGAACAGTAGGGGGTAGGGCTGGGGAGAGAGTCCAGTAGTCTAAGTGTCTGCCTGGCAAGCAAAAGGACCTAGGTTTGATCCCCCATACTGTATGCCATGCACGGTGGTGCATGCCTGCAATCTTAGCACTGGGGAGACTGACACAGGAGGAACACTGTGAGTCTGAGATGCGGAGTGAGACCTTGTACCAAATAAATAAATAATAAAGAAAAGACAAAAAAGAACAGTAGGGGCCAAATAGCTCATTAATAACATTTGACTCCTTAGAATCATAATAATATTAATTAAATTCCACAGAACATGTGCTATTGGTAAAGTTTCTAAATTTGTGTGCTTGTGTGCTAAATTTATTACTAAAACAAAAAGAATAAGAGCATATGTGTATAAGCATGAGCATTTATACACATATATGTGTAGATGCTACTCGGGGAAGGTGTCTCCATTTCATAATTTTAATTGTGCCAAGCATTTCTCAGAAGCAGCCTTTCCAGACTGCAGTCACAGTAACCCTGTGTTTGTCCCAGCTAAAGTTCACAGCTGAGTACTTCCTGTCAGCCCAGGTGTAGGCTGAATTGCTCGCTGGTCCTCGAGAAAGCATAGGTTTGCTCCACTACTCACCACTCATACAGCTCATCACTGACCCCAGAAGCCGTGCCCATCAGATGTGACTTACTGAGCGAAAGTCCTGGCATGTTGGTCTTGCTCTCTTTCTTCCCCACAGCCGTAGGGTAATCACAGCATGCCACTGATATTTCCCTGGAAAATCTTACCTGCTGTAAGAACAGATTGAGCTGTGGTCTGGGGCTGTATGTCCTTTCCAAAAACTTCATCTACCCCATGAGACTGTGCAGGGGGATCCCTGTGGCTCCCCAGAGCAGCCTGGCATTCATCACCTCCCTGCACAGGCATCAGGAAGTGCAGAGCACAAGGAACCTTTCTGCTTTAACTTCATCCATGCACACAAACCTAGTGAGCACCTAGGAGTGGGGGCCAGTGTGGCTGAAGAGACTATTGTTTTCTTTTGCAGAGAAACTAGACAATGTCTTAAGGGAATAAAATACAGCGAGATAGGAATTTAAACATGATGCTACAAGAGTGCAGGAGAGAAACTGTGTGTGTTAGGGAGCATGTCTGTGTATGTGCCTGTGTCAGAGTGTGTCTGTGTGTGCCACTGTGTCTGTGTGAGGTACATCTTCATGTGTCAGCTCTGCATGTGTCTGTGTGTGCAGGTCTGTAGTGTGTATCTATATGTTTGTGTGTAACTTGTGTCTGTGTGTAGCTGTGCAGCTGTGTGATTGTATACATGTCCATGTGTCTACTTGACAGCAGATCCAGGTGTTCTGTTGCTGTGTGTCTGTGTGTGTGTGTGCCGGTGCAGCTGTGTGTGCTTGGGGGTTAGCAGGAGAATGAGCCTAGAGAGATGCTGGCAGATTTCTCAGAGAATTTTCCCCACTTTGATATGGGAATTGGATGCAGAGGTGTGATCTTTGCAAGGGGGAAGAGGAGGCAGGAGGGAGTAGGCAGAGTTGATTCCCTTCATATGGCTGGGAGCCCAAGTGATTCTGAGTGACAGTTAGAAAACTTGCCTTGAATGACAAGACTGAGTAGTAAGTTTGTCCTGAAGGGAACATTAGCAACACTAAGAACCTTAATGAGAGAAGCAACATTTACCATGTAACCATTATGTATTGGGCCTAAGAAAGGATGTGATTAATATTTTGAATAAGAATGTCAGGATGGGGATACAGCTTAGTGCACAGTGCCTGCCTGGCAAGCGCAAGGACTTGAGATCCACTCCCAATACCAAAGAAAAAAGGAGAGAGAGAAAGAAAAAGAAAATGCCATGTCCAGTATTGGACTCATGGCCAGACTGCGTGCTCTTTCTAGAATCCAGGCTACAGGGGCTCTGCACATCAGCCACAGTGAGCAACTGTGTGGCAACTAGAGATAAGATAGAAAAGATCATGAAGAAAAGGGCAGCCTGGGGAAGCAGCACACTAATGTTAAATGTTAAATGTTTACAAAACCGTGACTACGCTTAAGCCTTTGGATGAGTCTTAACATTTAAAAAGTATTCTGAGTCAAGGGCTGCTACACTCTCTCTTCACTTACATCACTCCTCTGCAGGTCAAGTCTGCTGATATTTAGGGATTATTATAGGTGTATGCTGGCACATTCTGTCACAGCATGCACAAACACTGAACGTGGGAATGGGTCAACTCAGGGTTAGCAAAAACTTCTATAGAACCTTGGAAGGGGACATTCTGTCCTTATAAAGTTTAATAGGAATTTACAAAATGGAATGGCTGAGTGTGGTGGCACAAGTTTATAATCCTAGCACTTAAGAGGTTGAAGCAAGAGGATTGCTGTGAGTTCAAGGCCAGCCTGGGCTCCTTAGGAAGTTCTAGGCCAGCCTGAGCTACATAGTGAGATCCTATCTCAAAAATATAAATAAAAATGAAAATAATAAAAGGAATGAGTAGGCAGAATATTTTGTTGTAGTCAGCTTCCCTGTCACTACCACACACACACACACACACACACACACACACACTCACATATACTCTGGCACATGCATACACACACACACACTCACAGTACTGACACGCACTCACACTGTCACACCCACAAGCACACTGCAGACACACTGTCCCGTAAGAGAACAGTCTTTCCCCTGCCTGACCCCTTCCTCTTCCTCTGTGGCCAGAAGCAGCAGGGAGAGCAAACACTGGCACATTAAGCCTGGAATTCTGGGGTTTTTCCAAAGTCTGACTTGGATGAATTCCTATTTTATCTCTGGTTTCCATCTATAAGAAGAAAAATAGCTTGACTAGATGATTATTGTGACCTCTTTTATTTTTCGCCTGCACCAATGGAAACCATAGCTTCATGACACAGCCTTACATGATAGGACTTCTTGGTTATCAGTCGGAATTTCATGCATGACAGGAATTTCTATTAAATACAACAAAGAGCAGTTAAAATCTTTTAATCATCTGCTGCGGCTGCCAGAGGCAGTGGTGTGATGGGAAAACAATTGCTTTTTGAGGGCCACCTGTGCTCTAGACTGGCTTTTTTTGCTTTGCGTGACTGGGGACACTTTGCCCCTCCTCATCCACCCGCTCATCCACCCAGTTAGAGTCATTCCACAATCTCCACTGGTGGTGAGTAGCATAATCATTTGTGAAGTTTTAAAAATATGCATTTTTGGATCCAAATTCTTTGGGCTTCAAGCCCAGGATTAGGTATTTTTATAAAGCTCTACAGTTACTGGTAAAGAACATCCAATATGGTAAAACAATTTAAGGTAACACCGGATCTCCTGTTATTGGCAATTCATGATGCAAGACCAAGAAAAAAAAAAAAAACTTGATGTCATGCCACTAGAATTTTTCTTAACATAATAATTCTGTTATTCACTGAAAATTCTAACCACAAAGATCATATTTTGAGAAATGTATGGTTACTTTTGATTTTAATAATTGTCATCTGTGTATATCAATGTTTTTGGTTCTTTATTGAGGTGTGTTTTCCTTTCATTTCTGCCTGATATAAATCAATTTGAATCTATACATGATTTATTAGTAGAAAAAGTCTTCTTTCTACCATTGCCATTTTTAACTCCTAAAATCTTTCTATAATTTATGCCCAGATTTACTCAGTAGAAAGGTGTCAGAGAATCTGGTAGATCCTGCACAGTTTTAGAGGCCACAGC